ACGGCCATTTAGTTTGACGAAAACTTTCTTGCCATCGGAGTATTTTTCAAACTTTTTTTGATTTCGACCTCAAAAATGGCACCGCGAACGCGAAAATGCCGCGCCCACTCTTGCCAAAATATGAATAATGATTCCCGTTTTTTTTCTTTTCCACAGGATCCCGGAGAAGCCCTTAGATGGATGGAGAATATGGGGATCGACCCCATGAAGAAGCTGCCACCCCACAACTCCTTCGTATGCATCCAGCATTTCGAACCCGAAGTAGTGGGTGGAAAATGCCTGAGGAAGGGTGCCCTTCCAACGCTCAACTTGGGTAAGTTAATAATCATATAATAAAAGTGCATATTAGGCAGGTTAGTTTTTTTTTCCATAGGCCGGTGAATTAATTTAAAGTGGCGAAAAAATTGTTTAAAGTGTTTAGTGCGTTTCAAAATATAGTTTTAAAAAGTGAAGAGTGCTCCAGATGAAATACATATATATTAAATATGTATTTAAAAGTCAGTGGAGTCACGTCCTCCTTAGTGAATGCGTATATATGTTTGTACATACATACATTCTTATATGAAAACGCAACAGTGGTCACCAAAATAATCCGGCATTATTCTGTCCATTTTTGACAATTTTTCTTTTATAAAAGATTAATAGACTTTAAAAAAGGCAAAAGAAGCCCATTACAATTTATAATAATAATGTGGATATTTGAAGTGTCTTAAAATTGGCGTTGATTTTTTATAATTATTTTGTTGGCGCATTGTATTCGCGTATGTATGTACATATATATATTCTTATATGAAAACAAACAGTGGTCGACAAAATAATGCGGCAGTCTGACCATTTTTGACTACTTTTAAAGTTTGAAATCTCGATTTGAGCTACATATCCTTTTATAAAAAATTAAGAAACATTAAATAAAGGCAAAAGACGCCAATTACAATTTATTATTATAATGTGAATGTCTGAAGTGTCTTAAAATTCGCGTTGATTTTTTATAATTATTTTGTTGGCGCATTTTATAGCCTATTTTTTCGATATTTTAATAATTTTTCTTCCTCAACCAATATACAATTTTTGGTAGGTACTTAGCAAATTTTTCGGAAGATTTTTTTTATGGAATAATTCTTTTTTCATGCATTGGAATTGCTTTGATTAAATTAAATCGAAATTGTTTTATACATTTTTTCAATATTTTCATTATTTTTCATACTGTTAGATACTTAAATTTTTTTTCTTGGAATAATGTCGGGAGGTGAAGTTTGTATATAAAAACGTTTCTCAATTAGGGATAGATGGAGACCCTCCGCATAGCTGTACCGCTTCCAAGCCCAAGCGAAGCTGCTGTATCACGGGCTGTGTTTCTCAGCAAAAGCGCTTGTTTGCCTTTCCTAGGGCTGGAGAACTTCGGCAGCGTTGGGCCCTGGCTTGCAAAGTACAAGCGTTAAACGCCGACCGATTATTCGTTTGCCAACGCCACTTTGAGCCGGAATTTTTGGGTAAATTTAAACTTTCAGAAGGTGCGGTGCCTTCATTGTATTTAGAGTCAGACATCACTAGAAGTCGGTCGCCTAGTGTTTGTTCTGAATGGGTTTTCCCCCCGGTCACAAAAACGTATTCAAGACGCGTCGTTAAAGAAGAAAACGGCGATATAACTTTAGAAGAATTCGAAAAATTTTCACTTCTCGCGGAAAAAAGCGCGCCGCGTACGGGAAATGAAATCTGTTTGGGCTTAAACACCACTTCCGCCAGCGAACGATTTGCTCAAGCCACTCGATATTATCGAAGTAACGAGTTAAAATTAAACAAGCGTATTAAAGAGCTTGAGAAAGAGAATGAGGATTTGAAAAATCAATGGCGGAACTTGCATAAGCATGCAATAATAGCAGATAAATGTGCTAGCAGTGATGCTATCACATTTGCTAAAATGATCGTCAGTGCTAAAAATTTACGCTATAGCGAGGGGGAAAGGGCATTGGCACAAAATATAAACTATTTGTCAAATAAATCTTACACTTTTATGCGAGACGATCTAGGTTTTAATTTACCAAATAAAACATCTCTATTGCGTTGGCGCCCCATACGGTATGTTGTTCCTGGTTTCGATGCCAATGTCATTGAAAATTTAAAAAAAGTCGTCCAGAAAATGCTCGCTTCCGAGCGCATATGCGTACTATTGTTTGATGAAATATCTATAAAATCAGATCTTCAGTATAACAAATCCAGAGACTTAATCGATGGATTTGTAGACCTTGGGGAGGGTCAACGCAAATCAGAGGTAGGGAACAAGTGTTGTTTTTTTATGGTTAAAGGGCTATGCTCAAAATGGAAGTATGTTTTTTCTTACTATATAACCAAAAATGGCCTTCATGGCGCAGAACTACATTCCATTTTGAGACGCACCTTAACCGAACTTCAAAAAATTGGACTTAACGTCAAGGGGTTGGTTTGTGACCAAGGTCCGGCCAACACGAATCTTTTTAATATTTTAAAAGTTTCTGTAAGTAAAACTTACTTTGTTCATGAAGACTCAAAAATTTTTTGTTTGTTTGACTATTGCCATCTTATAAAGTCCGTTCGCAATACGTTGCTAAAGTACGATATCCAAACTTCTGATGGCATAGCCAGTTTTAAAGTAATTAGAAAGTTGTACGCCATTGATAAGGAAAATCCTCATTTTAAAATTTGCCCTAAATTAACGGAAGCCCACGTCTATCCTGCATTCTTTGAAAAAATGAGTGTTTCGCGCGCGACCCAAGTGCTGAGCAATTCGGTAGCGGCGGGCATTGGTATGGCCTATAGCCAAAATTTACTAGGCAACGACCAATATGTGGTAAATTGCGCTAAGCCCACACAGATTTTCGTCAAGAAAATGAACGATCTTTTTGACGAACTCGACGTAAAACATTTTTCAACGAACAATCCGTTAAGAAGTCCAATACGGCGCGGGGACACGGGAAAAATTGAACGATTGAACGGGTATATTAAGTATCTTGATTCATTTAAATTTCCTAATAACTCGGGTTCACTAATTAAATGTATTAACGGTTTCCGCCTTACTATTTTGGCGATGCAGCAACTTTCTGAAGAAATTTTCGATCAGCACGCTAACTTAAATTTTATTTTTCTCGGTAAAATGAATCAGGATGCTTTGGAAAATTTTTTTTATAGAATTCGCGCTAGCCAAGGTATTAATACCCATCCGTCTGCACATGACGTTCAATATATTGTCGAGCGGTTGATCTCCATGAAAATACTTCGTCAACGATTCGAAAATAAGGGAACCAATTGCGAAGATGACGATGATATAAATTTAGACTGGGATTTATGTCCAGAAGATCGTCATCTTGAAGAAACATGCAACGAAACGCAATGTGAGGAGCTCGCGGTAGATGAAATAGATATAGATGACGAGAATTTCGTTGAACAAGAAGCTGAGGTACAGGTGCAGCGCTATTACGTAGGCTATGGTATATACCAAAAATTGCTGCGTAACCTTAATTGCGACATATGCGCCTCCTCCATGACAAAATCGCAGGAGGATTTGAAGTTACATTCGGAGGCCCTTATAAAAGCAAAAAATTATAAGGGTGACAACGATCTGAGACTTGTCAATCCCGAAGATAACCTTTTCGAGGTGTGCCGACTTCAAATGGCGTGGTACCGCCAGCTTTTCACGAAATTTTCTCACATTGCCGGAGTTAAGTCTAAGATGTTGTCCGCAATACAGAAACAAACAAAAGAGGTGTCTCCCGATTGGTTTGACGAAGTCGGCGAATGTAGAGATCATCGGTTTAAATTGCTTGATTTCTTAATAACGGTTCTTTTATTTAAAAATGCCAAGTGGCTTTCGCAAACGAATAATCTTGATAAGAGTCGAAAACGCGACGCGAAGCTGAAAAAATTGTAACTTGCAGGCCGGGTCCCAGCGTTCTTTTTTTCTTTTTTCTTTTTTTTTCCTTTTTCTTTTTTCTCTTTTCTTTTTTGTTTTATTTTTTATTTACAGCTTTTCCACGTGTTTTCTTTTACTTACAGAGATGTACTTGAGCCTAGTTTTTTAAAACACCGGGGTTTCGACTCAATCACGATGGATTGAGTTGTGTTTTAATAGGCAGGTAAAATTCAACAACTTAATACTAATTAAGTCGTGTAAGAAGCTGTCATTGGATGGATGGCAGTTTCGCTACTCGTGTGCATATTTATATTTTTCCCCCACGTGGCAGACACCTTGCCGTAAGCGATTGTATTCCGATCGCTGGGTGTGGGGGCTTAATCTACCAAATGTTTCCTGGTAGAAACTAAGTCTGCCGTATTTTTTTATATTTTTATCAATTAAGTTTTCTTTATTTTTCACTTTATTTCAGATTATAATCTATTAATTTTGTTTTTTTTTAGACAGTTATGAACATTTTCATTAAAATTGTATATTTATTTACATACTTTTAATAAATTTAACCATCAAATTGATATATGTAAATAAATAATTTTAAATTTCAATTTCTTCTTCTATTTCATTACAGATATTTTTTATTTACAGGTTTAATGTAAATTCATTTATGTATGCTAGTTGTATTATTTGTATTAAATAATAAAATAAAAATAATAAGCTTTATTTCAATGAAATTATTTCTGTCATCAATTTTTTCATTCTGCCAAAAAGACAAACGCGTAAAAATGTAAGTATGTATTCATTTCTAAATGTACATATGTGCATACATATATACGATTGATCTGCTTTCGTCTTCCCCTAGCCGCTTCCATCCACACAAATCATTCAATTTCTGGAATTGACATTTTTTACACGCATACATGCATACATTCATATACACATGTACAGTGGAGTAGCACTAGGTTGAACATTGCATTGCTTGTACTTTGATGTGTTTGAATCTTTTATGGTACTGAAGATTTGCTTAGGGATGAAAAATATTAAAAATCGTTCGTGCATATATGTAAATATATTTTTATAAACGCTTGGAAGTATAGAAATTTTTAATATTAAAAAATAAATAAAATATTTTTTTTGTATATATGTAAATTTTGTTCAAGGCACATTGACCCACCTGTACAAAATTTGTGGCGCGGCATGGACAAAAATTTTACAATTTCGGACCGAAAAATATGAAAACGAGCCAAGTTGCCACGTTACATCTGTGAACTTCCGATAAAACCACATATGTTTGTGATTTTACAAGTTTTGATTTTATTAAAAAAAAATTAATGTATTTTGCTGCAGAAAACATACACTTTTATTTAATGTTTATTAAAATGACACTTTAAAATACTAGTTAATGATTGAAATATTGGTATGGAACAGAGAAATAGAGTGTTTTGTCAAAAACTACCAAAAATTACCAAAAATTGCCAAGATTCGAGATAACTTATTTTACTGGATATAGAGAAATAATTGCCAATTTTCACTTGGCTGGCCGAGATTTCTTCATTTTAAGATTTTAGAATTTTTGTGTCGGATTGACAAAGTTGCGCTTGTTGGTGATGAATTTGCGGGGAGATGTGCTGCGGTTATTTTTATGAATGAATTTACTTGGCCTTGAGAAATGCGCGCATGCGTTTATGAAAGAAATAGTTATTGTTGGATTTGAGTATGCGTGTAATTATGTGCAATGAGTTGTAAATATGTACATTTGTGTGTATGGGCGTAGTATTTTGGCAGTAATATGCACATACATACATATATATGTATGCATGGAAAAACGTTATCATTTAATGGAGTACGTATGTACATACGTATGCATGGGGAAATGCATTTTCATTGGACTCCAAAACTATTGGGGCATACCTATTCGTATATGAAATAAAGTCTACTCTAAGTTTAAGTTTATCAGTCCCAAATAAGAAAGTTAGTTGCATCTTTTTTTTCACAGATGTCTAGTCCACTGAAAGTGATATGAAAAAGCTGTAACTAACTTTAGTGTCGGCTTTATTTTAACTATGCATATGCCCCATTATTTATATATAATACGAGTATAGCAGTGAAAAATGATAATGCACAGTTTTTCGCAATATAAATAACTTTTCCGACAAAAACAACTTTGAAATTAACACGTGCAGTGCAATCAATGCATTTGTACGTTTTTTGTCAATGTATCCATCTTTGAAGTGGATGTGTGAGAAAACTAAGGCAGCTACAAAACTGAATTTTGTTGCATTGAAAATAGCGTACCTATAAACTACCATTAGAATCGCTAAAAATATAAAAACCGAGTTTCTTCGCTTTTAATGCCGACACCAAATCACCAAACAGTGCGCATTTGCGTTTTTTGGTCAATGTGTCCATCTTTAAAGTGAATTTGGGGAAAAACTAAGGCAGCTAGAAAACCGTGGTTTGTTGCATTGAAAATAGCGTAGCATCTACCATATGAATCGGTAAAGAAGTAAAAGTCGATTTTTTCTACCCAAATGCCGACGGCAAATCACCCACGAATTTGCCAACTGCATGCTACATATTTGCATAACTTTCACTTTTTAGATTCACAAAATTGTATCTCTCGCATACATATATGTACATATTACATATTTCGACCTATGCATGCATTTATTTTAAATAATTAACCAATTTAAAGAACAATAAAAGCGAGGTAAAAACGTAAAAAGCCATCAGCATTTCATTTCTAACAAGAAAAATATGCATTTGCTTTGATGAGACAATTTCTGTTAAGTTTATTTTGCTTCTGGCTGGGCTCTGTTAAAATTCGATTGTCTCTTGCTGGCCGCTCTTAAAATGCGCTTCGCCAGTTTTGTTGGTATTTGACAGTTTCCACGCTGATCCGTTCTTGGACCTTCTCTATAAATATACGTTCTCTG